GCTCATCCAGGCACCATCATCTCTAACTTGGACTCTGCAGTAGCATCCTACCTGGGCCTCTGCTTCATTCTTGTTCCCAGCCCTCCTTTTTCCAGTCACTCTCTCCCCAACAGTCAGAGATGCCTTCTTAAAACAAACTGCATCATATCACTCCTCTGTTTGAATCTTTCTATCGTCTCCCACTGTGTTCAGGGTTAACTCACAGAGCTCTGACTGGTCCAGCCCCTGCCCACCTCCTTGCCCCACAGCCCTCCATGCTCCATTCTCCCCTTTACTCTCTGTGTTGCAGCCTCATTGACCCTTTCTAGGTCCTTGAAAGTTGTTTCTTACCCCAGGGCCTTGGCATATGCTCCCCCCCTCCCCGCCCCCTGCTTGAAGTTCCCCTTCACCCCACATCTTCCCTTGGTCAGCTCCCACTCATCTTTCAAACCTCAGCTCAAATGTCACATCCCCAAAGAGGCCTTTCTAAACACCCCAATGTGAAATACGTCTTTGTCCTCTCATGGAGCCCGGTCCTTTGCCTCCATAGGACTCATCACAATGATAATGAAATAATTATGTTGAACTCTGTGTTTAATGTTCATCTCTCTCATTAGGACAGGGTCTGAGTTGTTTACACTTATACCAGGTTTCAGCATAGCATCTTACACACAGGAGGCATTCAGTGCATGTTTGTCAGAAGAAAGAAGGAAGGAAGGGAGGAAGAAAGGAAGGGAGGAAGGGAGGGAGGAAGGGAGGAAGGACAGGCAGGCAGGCCAGAAAGGGGAAGGTAGGAAGGAGGTCAGGGGTTTGGTCCCCTGCTGTGGGCTCTGTGTGCCCAGGCCAGCTCTGAAACTGCAGGGTGGCCACACAATCTCATGCTGACTGCTGACAGTGAAATGGCTCCTCACACATGACTCTATGACTGTGTCCAGTTGTCCCCCCTTGGACCCTCACAGACTCCCATCAGACGTCTGGGTAAGGTAGCAGCCCTCAGAGAAACGTTAACACCAGCCACCGAGAGCGGGCAAGGCCAGCAAGGGATGTGATGTATGCAGTCACCCTGCAGGGGGAGCTCTCTTGTGAACTTCAGTTTCCTCATATGTAATTTTAAAATAACATGATAATGGTTGCTATCGCACAGGATTGAGAAAATCAAGTCACTGCACACTTAGTGAGGCACTAAGAACAATATCAGGAAATGAGAGTGCAGAAGGAGCTCCCCCACTGGTGTTAGGACCACCTTCTGTAAAATGGGGAGATTATACACCAGAAAATACCACTGAGAAACATGTGAAGTTTTCACCTTAAAGATAATAAAAAAGGAGAGATAGTTATTGGTTGTCCTGGGTGGAGACCTCAGGATGGATTTGGAAAACTGTCAGCAATTTGCTCCCCACGAAGATTCCAGGGTAACAAAGAAAGATGGGGAGATTTTAAGTGCTGCTAGATACTACAGAGTAAGAGAAGGCCAAGGAAGTCCTGAGAGGTTCACATGGCCAAACCCCAAATCTACAGAGAGGAAGAGATTTGTCTCCTAAGGGGTAATAGTGCCTTTCCACCATTCAACAGTTTCTTCCCTTCCATCTGGGGGTTCTGCAGAAAACAGTGAGATTTTTTTCCCTTAGGATGTGAGAACCTAGGACACCAGCTGCCCATCACATGCTGCTGCCCCATGGTGGCAGTTATAGAGAGGAAGGCATGAAGTTTGTGTGTGTGTGTGTGTGTGTGTGTGTGTGTGTGTGTGTGTGTGTGTGGTAAGGGACTGCAACTGTCTGTACCTCCCTCCATCTCTCCCTTACCACCTCTACCACAAAAGCAGCCCCTGGAGCTGGAGGGTACACATGTGTCTCCATGAGCTGCTGCCCTGATGGCCCATGAGTTGCTGGACTCACATTTTAAAAACCTCCATATAGGCCAATTCCCTCCTACCCTTACACTCATCTCAGCTATTGGTTTTCAATTTTTAAGAATTGCCTAGACAGCTTGTGAAGCATGCTGATTCCCAGGCCCAGCCTCTAAGAATTCTAGTCGGTAGATCTGAGGTGGGGTTCGGGGATCCACATTTTAACAAGCTTTCTTGTAACTCTTCCATGGGGTCCTCACAGGTGTAAGATGTAGACTCTCCTCCCCTGAAGTCTTCCCCATCCCCATGGCTGTGATTGATTTATTCAGCTCTCCCCATTCTGTGGGCTGGCATTTCCACCTGGCTGCATCTTTCGTCCCAGTCCTTGACTCTCAGGCTCTGGGCTCATTACTGGAGCTCTTATCCGCAGCCCGAGCAAGCGAGTGAGCGGGCTGCATGTCACCTGAGTGCAAGGCTGGAAACTAGGCCATCGTGCTTGGCCGAGCAGATCCCCCTCTCCCAGCAGCTGCTCCACCGCCTCCTCCTGTTGTGTCCCCACAGTGCCTGGGCCTTTGGGCACTCACCCTCCTCATCATGGAGGGAGGACAGAGGCTCTGGGAGGGACCCCGATGAGGGACGCAGAGTGCCAGGAACTCAGGGACCTGTAGGGATAGGGTGAGGGCCAGGAGGAAGAAGGTACACAGACTGATAGGGGCAAGTCCTGGGGGGCAGCTGGACACCAGACCAGAGGACTCAGGAACATTCTGGGGTCCACCATGGAGTCAGGCCTCTTGGTCAGGGTTGGCCAGACTGGGGTTCATTGCCCTCCCCGTTGGCCTTGCAAGAGTCAGGGTGGGGGACCCTGGGGTAAAAGGCTGCAATGTGGCCCACGCAGTCCAGTCTTTGGTGTTGTCTTCCCCTCATTGCCTGTCATTGTCGTCATCTTCATATTCTTCTTCTCCTCCTTCTTGTTTCTCTCTCCACCCCCCTCCTTTTTGTTGGTCTGTCTCTCTCTCTTCCTAGCTTTGACGTCTTACCTCTCTTTCCCTCTCTTTGTCTCTTTCCTTATTCTCTGCCTCTCTCACATGACTCTCTGTGTCCTGTGTCTCACTGTCTGCGTGTCTCTGTCTCCTCCCTCCCTCGCCTGTCTCCCTGGCTCAAGAATGACTGCACTGGTTTACCTTCTCCAGACAGATGGTGTCCCTGTGTGGTTTAGTCATGCTGGATGCATAACTCTTGACTGACAAGGACCTGAAGGTGGGGCCCCAAGATGCTTTGCTCAGATCTCGCGTTCCACTGGGGAGGGACTCCGGGAGGAGGCAGCAGGAACTGCCAAGAAATCAGGCTGGACCTGGGGACCCCTACTACCCAGTTGTCCATCTCAAATGCTCAGACACTGACATTGCCAGTTCTCATGCTTGGGCCAAGTTCTTGCCGCTGCCGCCTCTTCCCAGTCCCAGCCACTCACCCACTCACTATCCTATCTCAAGAGAAAGCTGGGTTTGACCCAGCCAAGGACAGGCTCCCAGCCTGGTGATGCTCATCCTCCCGGACTTTGGAGGGTAGAGGAAGGAGAGCACCTTCTAGCCCTTCCCTCTCTAGGAGTTCTCAGTGATGCTCTCTCCCCCTTGGTCTCCCTGAAAGGAGTGGGGGAGGCAGAAACCCAGGCCCAAGATCACCACCATGTGGGCGTCTCCCCTTGCTTTCTCCTAAAAATTGGCAACAGAGCCATAGCTGAGTTGAGATCTCTGTGCAGGAGCTGGGGTGATGGCAGAAGTAGGGCCTGCTCAGGGCTCATCTCTCTGCCCAGGCAGCCACTCAGCAAATGTTTCCTGAGTGGTGAGCTGGGCCTGAGCCACAGGCTGGGCTCATGCCTTCCATGGGCTGGCAGGCAGGCAGTGAACAGGCCAGTGATGCCTGGGGTCAGATGCTGTGGCAGATTGTCCAGGAGCTGTAGTAGCGGAGAGGGAGTTGCTCATAGGGCAGCGAGGGGCTGGGTATGAAATGACCAGGAGAGAGGAGATTGGAATACAGCACCAGTGCAGAAAGGGAGGAACCTGTCCTGAAAGCCTTGTTGGCACGTGTGAGCTTTTGCAATTCTTAGGTAGAATTAGGTCTGTGGCTTTGCCGGGCCTGGATTCCTGCCTTGCTGCTCACATTCCTGGGAACAGGCACTCCAACAGAGGGTACGGCAGGACGAGGTGAGGGCTGGATGGGTCCTGGCTCCAGACCCTGTGGAAGGGTGGGGCCCCAGGAGCAGGCCAAGCCAGATGAGTGAGGCTGCCTAGTGCTGGTGACTAGTCTGTGCCCCCCACTTCCTCCTCCCCTCACACACAGAAAGGCACCATTCAGAGGCAAACTCTCCGGGGATAGAGGTGGCATTTCAGAGGCGGAGGTGCCCTTGGAGAGCAGGCCTCTGACCTTCCTTCTCAGAAGAGGAAAATGAGGCTCCAAGCAGTGAGTCTGTAACAAGAGATTCATGGTTGGCCCAGGCCCAGAATCTGGCTGTGTTTTCCGCTCTGTCCCCTCCCATGTTAAGCCGATTTGTCATTTCCTCTCAATGGCTACAGCTTCCCCTGAAAGCTGAGGCTCCTTGGCTGTGAATGAAGGACCTGGGAGCCTACAGCAGAACTGGCAGGGCGGTGCAGGAGGCCATTCAGTCACATAGAAACGAAAAAACGGGACCAGGAAAGGGAAGCTAGGGAGACACACAGGCTCCTAACAGGTCTTTAGATAGAAGAATAAGTTGTGTTTACGCACATCTGAAACCTTTGTTTGACCCAGAGAGGCTCTGAGGCTAAGAAGAAAGAACTGGGCTTTGGAGGTTCAGCCTCCTCCCAGTTCTGTGGCCTTGGGCACCCAGCAGCCTCTCTGGGCCTCAGGTACCCAGCTGTGAACTGGAGACAACAATCAGCCATCTGCCTCACAGGCCATATTGTGTTAGAGGAGAGATGTGACAAATGGTCTCTTAGGTTGTTAAAGGGAAATCCCTGGGGGGTGAGTAAGGTGTATGAGTGTGTGTGTGTGTGTGGGGGGGGTCTGTCTCCTCCTAGTTGTTCCAAAGATCAAAAGTCCCTGCCCCAGCCCAGCGTGGGCTGCCCCTTACTCTTAGCTCCAATGAGCTGGGAGGTTAGGGGCCGGCCTCTCATCCTGAGCCTCCTCTCACCACCCTCAGCTGCGTGGTGGACGAGATGGACTTCTCCAGTATGGAGCTGGATGAGGCTCTGCGCAAGTTCCAGGCGCACATCCGTGTGCAGGGGGAAGCCCAGAAGGTGGAGCGGCTCATAGAGGCCTTCAGGTAGGACCCCCTTTTCAACCCCCTCCTTCAAACACCCCTCAAAACACACACCTAGAGTATGGGGGACACAGAACTGCTATTGGGCCTGGGGAACAGGAGATGCTGGAGGGTCTGTCGGGGGCTGGGAGAAGCCCTCCTGGGGAGGCGGAAAGGTGGGCTGGGCTGGATAGAAAGGAGGGAAGGGACGGGGAGGGAAGGGACCCCTGGAGCTCTCCAAGCTGGAGCAGCACTGGGCCTC